ACACACACACACACACACACACACACAGGACGACACGGCGAACTAAAGTAATTTACTTAAACAACCTAAACTATTTTCATTTATTATCTTTCGGGTCTTCATGTAAGCATATAATACTATTGTTTTGAAAAATCACTATTTAATAAAAATATTGACGTTTTTATGTACATAGTATCTGATATTAATAGATAAATAAGTTTAAAAAAAAAAATTGTCAATGAAAAACTATATCGAAATAGAGTTTACCTAATTACTTACCATTAAAATTATATGTCTATGCTATGAATTAGATAGTCACAAATATTATTAAGAATATAACTAGTTAATATTTTTGATAAAAGTAATACATTAAATTCAGAATGGGTTTCACTAAATGAAAACACCTTGTATGTTTAATAAATTGTTGTAATAACGTTATAATACTGTTATAATACGTTTTTGCAGCTCATTTACCCAATGTTTTTTCTGAACTGTAAGCCGAGGTCCGAGCGATCGCGGCCAAGTCACTTTGTACTCTGTACGTAATTACCATGTTTCAGCAAAACAAAGACACAAAAACGGTCCTCAGACTTGACAAAGCTTGTGTTGTTGAAATGTTGTTTGTTCAAGGGGCTGGTTCGAGACAATAGAAACACTAAGCACTGTATGGTTTATTTTATTCACGCCACTAAGTCCGTTCAAGTCTCGACAATTGTATGCTGATAATGCACTGATATTCTGGTTTATGAAAAAGATGGTATATACTAAATAATAAATAGGCTATTTAAAACATAAGTGTAATATATTTAACTATATGTATGTATGTATTGGAGGAACACTAATCAATGTATAGTATTTTCGTCGTTTTCCACGGGCCCTTGACATAATTAAAACTATTCTTACGGCTTAATTTCATTTTGTTTTGGGTTTTATCATATTATTTCTGATTTTTCGAATAGTTTACAATTTTAGCAGTCACGAATTAATGGCCAGAATAAACCTGGAAAATATTAATCTAATCGTGTAGTCAATTCTTAGGTCAATTCTTCATTTAATTATCAGTGTCGGAATTCATATAGCTTATTAACAGCGTGTGTCTTATTTCTGCCCCAAAATTATTATGCATTCCTGTTTGAAGTGGTCGGAGGTATTTTCGAAAGCTGTGCAACTTTGTTCCCAGCATGGTCGATGTCCATTTCTCTTTTTCTCCACCTTATCCCACTAGGTGGGGTCAGCACAGTTAATTTTTCTCTTCCATTCCCTTCTATCAGCCGTCATCGCAACACTCAATCCTCTCTCTCGCATAAGTCATTCACGCACTCCATCCATGTCTTTTTCGGTCGACCTCTTCCCCCTCTACCTTGCATTACATTTCCATACATCTCCTAGTCACACGCATCTTCTCTCTACGCATAACACGTCCATACCACGCTAACCGTCCGCTCTTTAATTTGTTCCTTACGGGGGCTACTTTCACACTTACTCTTGTCGATGCCCATGGGCGACAATAATCTATGAGTTGATAATTTACGTGCTCTTTTATTAGCAGACGTAATCAAAACTGCTTGTCTGACAACTTATTACTTATTTCATAAATATTGCTATTGTGTACGTAGGTTTTTGAAGTTATACTTCTTTAGGCGCGTTATGAAAAATTTATTAGAGTGAAATTTTACGATGCGCGTGACCCAAAAATTAACATAAATAAAGTTGCCCACTAGTGCTCCTATACAATTGAGGTTAACCATCCGTACGTATTATTTAGTAATATAAATATACTAATGAATTATATTAAATAATAATTTTGTCATGTAATTAAATTATTAACGTTAAATATTTATTATTAATTATTTAAAATAAAAATAAAAAAAAATTAATATAAATAAAGTATAACTTCTTAAGCGCGTACATAAGTACACGCACCCTTTTTTTATTCCCCTTTTAGGTAGACGAGCATACGGGCCATCGGATGGTGAGTGGTTATCGTCGCCCATAGACGTCAGCAATGCCAAGCTGCTGCCTACTGTTAAAACGTGCGTACATTATTTTTATCATATACCTGAACGCACCAAGCGGATTGGACACCCGGGCTGAAATCTAAATTTCATCGTATTAAAGGAATATAACTTGTTACAGTGAGTAATGGAATTAACTTCATAAATTAAGCACAACGGCTCAGTTTGATAACATCATCATCCGCTGCGTAACGACTCGTAAAATATTATTCATCTTCTACCGAGAATTATATAGAATCATAAAATTTTATTTTTTGGTTTAATTTTCTCGACAACATTTGAGACGTATTTCATTATTTTTTTAGTTAACAGCTGGCGACAGTTTCTTTAGGTTTAACACCTGAGACAATAAAAAAAAGTTTATTTTTTTATGTGTTATCATTGCCTTCTTTGTCAAGTAAATAAAAAAAATGGTCTCATTCATGATGAAACGGTCGGGTTCGTAAACTTGTAATCATGTAAATTTTCCGACCATTACTTACTCTTTTTCAATGTGGGTATCATCAAAAAAGGTTAAGTGATTTTCATGCAATTCACCAGTAAAGTTAGGACAGAGAAGCGGATTGACGACGCTTTTCTTTTCGACAAAAAAGGTATTATCGGATTAATAAAATCTCTTTCGCACCGAGAAAGTGGTTTTGGTTGCAAAAGATTCGATTATTGAAAATTCGAATCTTCAAGTCCAGTCGTAGATATACAAAATAATTGGCTTTCTCTTAAAATAACGTAGATATGTCCTTTGGAAATTTCTCAAATTGATTTGAATAGCTGTCACTGCCCAATATATTATTATTGCTGACTTTGAAACGATACGATTTTCAATTATACATTTACTTTAAGTTTGGAGAGAGATTATTAGACGTTGAGATGATGTATCAATAGCCGTATAATTATTTCATTTAGTCATGAACTTCTAGCCAAGTCGACCCTCGATATGAACCGCGTGGCCGCGGCCTTGTTGAGTTTCTATAGTAATGAAAACATTCACAAAGAGGCGTCAATTTAATGAAATAAAACTGGATTTATAGATTCATAAATGCATTTTATCTTCAGTTCATGTTTCTTTATGAATACCTTTACTATATATGTATGTTACCTTAAATATATGTATGTGTATAATAAAAAATATTATATTTATTTCCGTTATCTGGTACTTGTAACACAAGTTCTTTACGAACTTAGCACGGGACCAGTTAACGTGGCGTGATTGTTAGTAAATATTTATTTATTATTTATTAAAAATTTATCAATATTTACCTTTACGATCAGATGGACTGCGCGCTCGCTTGTGTTGCTCAACAGAACTGCTTTTTAATGTGTTTCATTATTATTATTTTTGCATTATTAATGTCACGGGCAGAGCTTAGCCAGTACAGTAGACATCCACGGGTAGCTCTTGAAAAACGCTCGGGAAAAACGAGAAATACCTATCTCAAATTCCAACATTTTTATTTATTTCTATTGTTCTGCTGTAAATAGTTATCAGAACTCATAGACATTAATTACAACGTGATTGCCAAATGACGTCACAGTTCCAATATTTTTACACATCTATCTCTCTTTAAGAAAATAGACAGATCGGTAGTACCAGTAAAGTGTTATAATAGATATTTTATAATTAATAGTGCGAGAGTTAAGCTATAGCATTTAGTGTGTCTATACCGAAGCCTGCTTTAGAGTTTCGTGTCTCTACAAACATGACCTACTTCCCGGCATCATATTACTGCACTCAAGAACCTTTACAAAGCACTCGATTGTTCTGAAAAAGCGCCTAACTACGTAAATGCAGACGTTGGAAGGCTGTAGGTACTTAGGAAATGAACGAATAGCTTAAGAAACACTTTATTTAATGAAAAATGCTCGTCGTACGAATACGTATTGTGAAGTTTCTTTGAAATCTCGCTTTATATGTAATAACTAGTTTTTATTCTGAAATCAAATCGATTTTAACGCAAAAAATCTTTTTCTTTTGCAATATTACTGTTTTTTTTAATTGCTTAGATGAGTGGACGAGCTCACAGCCCACCTCGGGTTAAATGGTTATTGGAGCTCATAGACATCTACAACGTAAATGCGCCACCCACCTTGAGATATAAGTTCTAAGGTCTACATATAGTTACAACGGCTTTCCCGCCCTTCAAACTGAAACGCGTTGCTGCTTCACGGCAGAAATAGGCACGATGGTGCTACCTACCCGTGCGGACTCACCAGAGGTTCTACCACCAGTAATAAGTAATAAGGTGGCCTGAAGATCTTTCCAGTTTCACCAGGACAGGTGGGCGAGCACGTACTTAGCCAGAAGCTATGGGATTTGCTAACAGCTGCACCTCCAAGGGAGACCTAACAGCTCAAGGATAGCTCCTTCGCGAATGTATCTACTACCGAATAACAATCATGACGCGCTGAGAAGATTCGACGAGAAACTCAACTATGAGTACAAAAAAGTTATTAAGAGTCGGTCATCACTGGGTAACGACTCCAAATTCACAAAAATAGCCTACCTATCCATTTTTTCGTTAACAATGTGTACAATTTAGTACAATACAAAAAAAAAGATGTGTGGTGTCGTGGGACATCGGATAGGAACGAAGTTCCTTATTATAAAAATGTTAATTTTAAGTTTTATTCGAGGTATAAAGAAAATAATTATTCGGGTATACATTGTTTATTATGATTTTTCGATGATAAAAAAAAAATAAGCTATCAACTTTATTTTATTCACAATGATTTATAAAAAATATAAAATATTAATATACAAAGAGGCAATTATTTATAGGTATATGAATAATAATAATGAAGCCTAATTATGTTCTATCATAGAACTAATAATAGCCGTCATCACGTAGACTATACATTAGAGTTAGACACTGTATAGCCCTCATACTAAGACTATACATAAATAATAAAATCTTACGTTACGGACGTTTTTTCCCGTTTAGGGTACCCCTCCGCATCGTCCCATAAGGAAGTTCGTTCCAAAATAATTATGTATTTTTGTGTTTAGAGATGTCCCTTGTTCCGCCTGGAGGCGCGGACTCTCCGAGTCCCCGGCGTGCTGTCAGCCCTTTACTGGAGATGCGAAGACCACACTGCACGTTGGCCTGCGACTATTGCGCGGCCATCTTGGAGGATAAGTTCAAACGTACGTATTATCCTGACAATAAAGCTAAAATATAGGATTTATTAATTTTATAAATGTTCATGTGAAACTCAGCATTTATTTCCGACAACTAAGAAGTGTTTGAGAATAACTATTACTTAAAATAAAAGTTTCTCAAATTTAAAATAGTTTTTCTGCTTCTTGTTTTTGTATTCAATACCGTAAATTTCGAAAAGGGCACATCTCACAAATATAAAATATCTAATAAAATATATATATATACTGACGCTTAAGATAGTAATTCCAGTAATTTTCAATTGCTAATTAACACTAAAATGTATCTCAAAAGTGAATATTATAAATTTTACACTGCTTTAGAATATAATCAGTTTTTTTCATTTCCTGAACATTTTACATTTTCGGAGATGTGCCCTTTTCGAAATTGTATATTCAACTAAAAAGTTATCGAGGACAGTATAGAAGGCAGCGGCATGTATGGTTGTTCCCCTGGCATTGTTGATGCCCATGAGCGACGATTACTCACAAACAGGTGTCCTGTAGGCTCGTCTGCCTTCGAATGCCAATTAAAATCAAAGAAAGACGCTCAAAATATAAAATGATTTCCAAATTATTTTTGTGTTCTGTGTTTTCACGATGCTACCGCTCATGATGCATCACCTCACGATGATACCTATTAAACATACTTAGTCTGAAATCGAACAGAGTCGACCGAGAAAGATAACGTCGAGAGCTACCGGCTCTCAAAATACGAGGAGTTCCTTCTGTGTGTAAATAAACATAAACTGTTGTAAATATTTGTTTGTAAGCCATAAGACGGTGTATAGTTAGTTATCTTTAATATCATCTTATCTTTTAAAATCCTGGGTAGAGCGAGTCTCTGTTGACTGGATTATATAGGTTACGAAAAGACAGCCGTCCATATATTTTCTTTTTTGTGTACACATCTAAGAGAAATAAAATGTAACATATCACATAACGGATTTACGAATCGTGAAAATAGCTCTCTGAAGCAACCCACACGTTTTTTGGAGACATTTATTTGAGAAAGTCTCTCTGCGTAAACTCTCTAACATGGGTTCATCGATCATAGAGTATGCTCGGGTAAGAGAACGGTAAAGCTAGAATGACAACTTTGGAAATCATAATGATTTGAGCTATCAAATTTTTTGACTCGTAAGTTTGATGTAGGTTTCTTTAACTTGAAAATGTTTATATTTATTTATGGCCTAAAAGCCACGATGACTTTATGTACGCCTTTTCTGAGTAATAGTCCCTTTAGTGTATTACCAATTTATATACTTTTTGGCTTATTTTGACGGGTGATACACATGACATTATGACTAATAAGACAAAAACCCGTGAGTTGGTGGTGACGGTGAACAGGTCGGCATAATCCCTTTTGAGGCATAGGACTGTAGTGTAACTATGTATTACTATATTATAAGTTTGACTTTGTTTATAATAACTTTGAAATTATATTAGATGTAGAATTATTATATTTAAAAATTATATTGATTTTTAATATTGTCTGTTTTTTGGGACAAACATTCTTTGTATATAGTCAGCAATGACGCACCGTGCGCAAGCGCTACGGGTGGCCCCCGCGCGCGCTCTTCACTAGCAGTCCGTAAACTGTCTTGCCGTCGGATACTCGTATGATTTTACCCGCTAACCCGCTTCGCAGTGCTTGCGCATAGTCTTGCTTAACTTTAATTTTAGCTTATAGTTCAAGTCTGTTTATTTGTTTCCTCTTCCCCTTCTATGTGTTTGTTCTTTAATATAATATAATATAAGACAATAAAACTGAAAGTGTTTTTAAAAACTGTGCGGGTGGTTTAATTTGACCTAACACTTCATTGGTGACCTCTCATACAGAACGCAATATGAGTGTGGAAAAAACAATTGCCAGTGGCAGTAGTGACCTTGGTCGTGTGGGTGTAAGGGTACCACCGTTCTACCCGGATAAACCTGCGCTCTGGTTTGCACAGCTGGAGAGCCAGTTCCTGTTGTCGAGCATCACCGCTGACTCGACAAAATTCCACTATACCTGCAGCCAGTTGGATGAAGCCTACGCCTCGACAGTGGAGGATATCATCACCAATCCTCCAGCCAGTGGGAAGTACGAGCGACTAAAGTCGGAGTTGATTAACCGTCTTTCCAAGTCCCGTGAAAAGAAAGTCCAACAACTCCTGCATCACGAGGAACTCGGTGATAGAAAACCCTCGCAATTCCTGCGACATCTAAGGGACCTCGCCGGGGCAGACGTACCAGAAGACTTCGTGCGCACCATTTGGGTTAGTCGTCTACCCTCAAATACCCAGGCTATTGTAGCATCGCAGTGCAACGCCTCGCTCGAAGACGTGTCGCAGTTGGCAGACAAAGTGCACGACGTAGTATCCAACAGCCCACAAGTAGCAGCAGTGGGAGTACCCGAGAGCAGTGCCGTTAACGCTCAGATAGCGGAACTCACCCGCCAGGTACAGGTACTGTCAACAAAGTTAGACAGGATGTCGCGCTCAAGGCAGAGATCAAACTCNGCCATTAAGACTTTCCCTGTTCCAAAAACGGTCAGAGAGCTCAGGCGGTTCCTAGGGATGGTAAACTTTTACCGCAGATTTATCCCTGAAGCTGCAGTCCATCAAGCGCCTCTGAATCTCCTCCTGACCGGCTCCGTCAAAGGGTCTCATCCCGTTAATTTCGGAGACAGGGAACATCAAGCCTTTGAAGCCTGCAAAGAAAGCTTATGCAAGGCCGCCATGCTAGCACATCCGGAATGTAACGCAAAGCTCGCGTTAGTTACGGATGCCTCTGATTCGGCAATAGGCGCAGTCCTCCAGCAGCAAAAGGAAAATTCGTGGCAGCCGTTGGCATTCTTTTCACGAAAATTGAGTTCCACACAGCTCAAGTATTCCCCTTACGACCGTGAACTCTTAGCCATTTATGAGAGTGTGAAATATTTTCGTCACATGGTGGAGGCCCGAGATTTTGCCATCTTTACGGACCACAAGCCATTAACGTATGCTTTTCATTCTCGTAAAGAAAATTGCTCGCCACGCCAATTCTGACACCTTGATTTTGTCTCACAGTTTACCACAGACATACGCCACATCTCAGGGAAAGACAATGTTGTTGCCGACACATTATCCCGAATCGAAGAGATCGTGCAACCCATTGACCTTGAGCAAGTAGCAAAGGCTCAGCAAGGAGACAACGAGGTAAAAGACCTTTTGGAAGATAACTCTTCCCTTTGCCTCAGAAAGGTGAAGCTACCTGGGTCACGCACAGAATTATACTGTGATGTGGGTGAGACAGTACAGAGACCGTTCATTCCGAAGCAGTTTCGACGACAAGTCTTTCAGAGTCTACACTCACTCAGTCACCCTGGCGCCAATGTGACGGCGAAACTAGTTTCTGAGCGATACGTGTGGCCTGGAGTTCGAAAAGACTGCAGAGAGTGGGTACGTACCTGCTTAGCTTGCCAGCGCTCTAAAATTACACGTCACGTTTATTCGCCCATCGCTGCCTTCAAAGTACCACGAGCTAGGTTCACATTTGTCCATATAGACTTAATCGGTCCATTACCGGTTTCACACGGCAATAAATATTGTCTTACAGCCATCGATAGATTTACGCGATGGCCTGAGGCAATACCTTTGCCAGACATAAATGCCGAAACTGTTGCAAAAGCACTAATTAGCGGATGGATATCGCGGTTCGGCTGCCCAACGGACATTATTTCTGACCGTGGCAGTCAGTTTTAATCGGAGCTGTTCAAAAATTTGTCACAACTGTCCGGATTTCAACACCGACGGACCACTGCTTATCATCCCCAAAGCAATGGACTCGTGGAACGATTCCACAGACAGCTTAAAGCTGCTATTATATGTCATGCCAACGACAGTTGGGTTGAATCGCTTCCACTTGTTTTGCTAGGGATCCGTAGTGCAGTTAAAGACGACCTCCGAGCATCATCTGCGGAACTTTTATATGGAGAAGCACTACGTTTACCAGGAGAATTTTTTAACCCGGAAGTAAGCGATACCGTCAACGTAACAGAGTACATGGCACGACTTCGGAAGTTTGTTAAAGACCTACGACCCACACCAGCCTCTCGTCACGGCGGTAAGCGTACATTTGTCTTCAAAGACTTAGCAACAGCATCCCATATATTTTTGAGGGATGATACATTGGGAGGTTCGCTTAAACAAGCATATTCTGGACCTCATGAAGTCTTACAGCGTGGTGACAAAGTGTTTAGAATAATCTTAAACGGTAAAAACGTCGCAGTATCTATCGACCGCATCAAGCCGGCCTACATACTGCACGATTCAGATACCACACATACACCATCACCCACACATACATACACTCACACAGATTCACCTGATACTACAGACCCAGTTGTCCTCGATGCCGATGAAGGTGTCATCAGGAGAACTAGATCAGGGCGTAGAGTGANTACTGCACGATTCAGATACCACACATACACCATCACCCACACATACATACACTCACACAGATTCACCTGATACTACAGACCCAGTTGTCCTCGATGCCGATGAAGGTGTCATCAGGAGAACTAGATCAGGGCGTAGAGTGAAGTTTCCGCAATATTATCGCCCGTAACCCGGTCTCTGGAGGGGGGTGATGTAGTGTAACTATGTATTACTATATTATAAGTTTGACTTTGTTTATAATAACTTTGAAATTATATTAGATGTAGAATTATTATATTTAAAAATTATATTGATTTTTAATATTGTCTGTTTTTTGGGACAAACATTCTTTGTATATAGTCAGCAATGACGCACCGTGCGCAAGCGCTACGGGTGGCCCCCGCGCGCGCTCTTCACTAGCAGTCCGTAAACTGTCTTGCCGTCGGATACTCGTATGATTTTACCCGCTAACCCGCTTCGCAGTGCTTGCGCATAGTCTTGCTTAACTTTAATTTTAGCTTATAGTTCAAGTCTGTTTATTTGTTTCCTCTTCCCCTTCTATGTGTTTGTTCTTTAATATAATATAATATAATATAAGACAATAAAACTGAAAGTGTTTTTAAAAACTGTGCGGGTGGTTTAATTTGACCTAACACTTCAGGACGGACCTCAGATCATCGCCATTACCCGAACATTATTAAATTTGCTGGTTTCATGTCTATTCCATATTGTTCTCAAAAAAAATGGAATATCCAATACAACAAAGCAGCGGTATTTAAATTTATGTACATGTGCACTTAACTTGTACACAGTGATCCACTTATAAAAATAGCTGCAAAACCATCTAACAAGAGATGGACCGTATCGATCTATAAAATAGTGAAATTCCCGTCTGTTCTTGTGGCTAATAAAAGTAATCTACTTTGGTCTGTACAAAGAAAATCATCTGCAAATTCTTATATTCTGTGATCATAGTAGTGCGGGTGAGCAAGCCACACTAAATCATAAGATCAGTTCAATACTCTTTTTAGATATTCACAGACTGGGATTTATGGAAGCTCTGCAGGTGTTTGGAACTCTGCCATGAAAGTTTTAGCCGTAATGCTTCCTATTGTTTACCATTATATTGAGTTATTTTTGAAAGACTGAATATGAAAAGTTTCAAAGACAATTTGAGTTTGAATTTAGTGTTGTTTGTTATTTAATTTGTAAGTTTGTGCTGCTTGACGTCATCATAGGTTTTTTTTTAAAACATCCATAATTCCACCCGGTTTACTAGTAGGTTCGGGTGAATAGTTTCTTATTGTACTGATGTGAAGTTTCAGGTCTTCAAATTTGAATTCAGTCACAGGTTACTGGCTACATTTTTTTGTTGTCAAGTGTAGGAGACGAGCTTACAACAAAGTTTTTTTTTATTGCTTGTGTGAGTGGACAGGCTTACGGACCACCTTGTCTTTAGTGGTCACCTGAGCCCATAGACTTCTACAACGTAAATGCCACCACCCACCTTGAGACATGAGTTCTAAGGTCTCAAGTTCAATACAACGGCTTCAGAAATAGGCAGGGGGTGGTACCAACTCGTGCGGACTCACAATACGTGCTATCATCAGTAAATTGATTTAAAACAGTCAACTGCTGTCTATGGACATCAGATATGCCAGAGGCAGAACCATATCGGCTCTACCAGACCTCTCCATGGTTTTTCTCGAGCTAGATTTGAAAAAGGGTTTCCGTATTTTATCTTTTCTTGTTACTCATTTTTATTTTACTTGATTATTTGTAACTATTTTTAAATCTATTTTTAAATCTAACTATTTCTTAATCTTATTTATTTATTTATTTATTTATTTAAGGATTACCGACAGGGTTTACAGTAAGACATAAAATAACATTGATATGTATAGAGCAATTGATAACTGCAACTCTAATTATAGGCAATCACAGCATGCATTACATGAATATATTAATAGAGATTTAACAATACTATTAATAATAATAAAAAATTAAAAACAAAAGAAAGACAACAAGGGCAGTAATGCCCGAGTACTCAGACCGAGGCTGAGGCTGAGGTTCAACAACAACTTTTTATAATTTTGTTCTTAAATATTGGAAGGGAATCGCCAAATATGTCAAGGTTTTCAACTTTTCTAACAAGATTATTATAAAGGTTAGTTAGACGAGGAGTAGGTGAGTGCTTGCCTAGATTGGTTCTGCTAAAGCGGGTGCTGAAAAGAGCAACGGGGCGACGAGGTAACCTAGATGGCACCTTCAAAGAGAATTTATTGAGGATGAATTGGGAGTCGACAGTACCGCTCATAACTTGATGTAAAAAACNCCGCATACTACATTTTGTGTCTATCCAGTCAGCATTAATATTGCTGTACACATTGTCATCAGCTTCAAACACAGAAGAGAAATATTTTGCAAATAGATCGCTGATGACATCTACACTGTGACCTTTTACGTCGTTAAGACTCATAGTGGGTGGATAGTTAGAACTAAAATTACGTTTCTTTTTAATGTGCGACCAGAAGTATTTAGGGTTCTTGGATATTAAAATTTCTAAAGAGATTATATAATCGTTATAACATTTACGCATGACCCTTTCACAATCAGCACGCAAGTAATTGAATTCTATTTTGTCTAACGGATTTCTATGTTTTTTGTATTTGGTATGGTATTTGTGTTTTAGCTTTAACATTTTTACTAAGGATGGTGAGAACCAGACAGGGTAATTTTTATATTTAAATGTGGGTGTAAATGGAACATGACTTTTTATAATATTTCTGAGAATCTCATATAGTTTGCTAACCATATAATTTACATTACTGCAATCATTAAATTCATTATTCCAATTAATATCACTTAATTCATTGTTAATAATTTCATAATTAGCTTTTCGGAAATTATATTTCGGTTTGATAGTATTCTGACTAGTTTTGTTAATAAATACCGTCGTTGCTATAGATATGTCTAAGGGGGGATGCAATTCATCAATATCTCTTAGTGGGTGAGTACATTCTTTGATTGTAACATTATTGTGAGTATTACTGAGAACAAGATCAAGTATTTTATTTTTACTATTGGGAATGTGATTGTGCTGAACGATATCATTAAGTGCCATAAAGTCTATCAAACTGCCATTCATTGGGCAGGTACCATAATTGTTCGGTGTAGTGTAGGACTCATCATCGTTAAGCTCCCAGTTTATCCCGCTTAGATTAAAATCGCCTAATATAATCGTGCTACAATTTTGGTCAAAACCTACGCTACATTTGTCTAAATAATTATCGAGAGCTGTGACCGTGACGGGGGGTGGCAGGTAGACTGCACACAGATTCAGTAACTGAACATTAGAATTACGACTTTTAATTTTGATCCACACGTCCTCACAGTCACTCTCCCATTCAAACATGCGCCACGCTACAAACTGTTTTTTTACTGCGATAAGAACACCGCCTCCCCTTCTCCTAAAATTATATATAGATGAGCTCTCTCGGTCTCTTCTAAAAACCTCATATCTGTTGTCAAATATCTCCAAATCTAAAATACTACCATTGAGCCACGTTTCAGTAAATATTATAATATCATAATTGTTTAGTAACAGTTGTTGTTGAATCTCCACAGTACTCAGTCTAAGACCTCTAACATTTTGATAATAACAAGATAAACTATTTAATGAGATCATATTCGTAAGCTGATAAGCGCGAACTGCAACTTGACAAGAAATCAATTTGTAATTAAACAAAAATATTATTATTTTAGACAAGGTCGGTTAAATAAAATGAAGTTAAGAATCAATCAAAACGATACTTAAAATTAGGTGAATTTACCACATTCGATGAGTTAAGTATAGAATAAAAAATAAAAATAAAATATTTACAAAATACAATATGCTGAAGTGTAATTAAACACTAATAATAATAACTTAACTAATACCGGGACAAAAATAGTTCAAGTCTTACAGTTTTACATTTCGTAACGCATTTTCGAAATAAAAATTCAGATTTTCAACTTAATATTTATAGCTAATTAATATTGCCTTAAGTTTTGTCAATTGTTTGTGATTTAAATACCCAGTTAATTCAGTAATTCTATAATAATATTTGTATACTTATCATCATCGTTGAGTAAATGTAATTAAAGATCAAAATTTGAAAAGCCTGGCTTCCTTCTATTCTTCAAATTCGAAAATTTTATTGATAATATGTTGTCAAAAACAACTTTCAAAGAATTTCTATTGTAGCTTAAAATATTAAATTTATCGCAGTCTTTTCCCAACTCCAAAATCAAGCTTTGTAAAATTTTAAGCATTCAAAGGCATATTTGAAGCCAATGATAGGATCATACTACAAGAGGGAACTTGAATAATACACAATTATTACCATAGACGAGTTTATCCAGTCCAAACACGGTGAGCGGACGATATCTCTAAAGGGTTAGGTAAATCTTCTTAATTTATATGAATGATTAATCGCTTGATAATAGCCTCAAAGGGATTACGAAAGCTTCACGAATCATTAATTACATTTACGCATGAATATTTCTGGAATGCCCATTTCAAAATGTAGTCCAAAACCAACGTCTGAAATGGGACTAAAATATTTATTGAATGTTACAGAATTGTCATGTGTATTATAAGGTAGGTTTATTTTTTCACAACAGGCAGTTCTGAAACTAGAAACCGTGGCACTTCGCCATTATCAGCCTCCCCACGTCAATCTCTTACTGGAGAACCACCTTGGACCCTGCCAGATGACGATCGTCCCGATTTCTCAGCTTTGAAAGAAAATATACATAAGATCAACAAGTAAGTAGTTTTTCTTAGTCGTATAAGTCGTATAAGAAGTGCGTAAACTGAAGTACGATAAAAATCTAGAAGTTCGCCTAGAAACGAAGCCACGGCTTTTGTTCCATTTTTTATATACTAACATTATAATCGCTGTGTTTATTACCAAAATTCATTTTGTTATTTAAAACTCATCAACATAATTGTTTTGAAACTGCGTGTCTTTGACCGAAAATCACGTACGGTACTACTGTTTGTATTGTATTATATGAAGAGTCGGTGAAAGTTATATAACTTTTGTGTTTATCTTAGATGATTTAAATTGTTTAATGAATTCACACGAGCATACAGGCCTTAATTATAATATAAAAGTTTTTTTTTTTTAATATTGAAAATTAATTCTTTTTACTTTTCTTATTAATCTGTAATCTCGCGTCGCTTATTCAATTACGTTCAGGCTCTATACATTTATTGTTGGTATTTCAATGAAGATTTCTAACAATATAAAATCACGTGGCAAGCGAGTAGCTTCAACAAATCGGCATATTTCCAATAAGTAATTAGTATTATGTTGTTCTTTAATGTCCGGGATACAGGCTAGTCTTTAGTAAAATTAATATTTATTAAGGGACTGTGAAACATCAACACGTTTGGATATGTTGCTCACTCAAGTGGAGCAATACGCCAACAATCTCGAAGCACTGGTCGAAGAAAGGACTTCAGATTACTTGGAGGAGAAACGAAAATGCGAAGAGCTTCTTTATCAGCTGCTACCCAAGTAAGTTTCATCGTTCTACAAAGAAATTCAATGTAAATAAATCATACGCATTTGTTTTGTTTTTTCCACTTATTCACGGGCAGCCTAAGGGGCTATTCCAGCTATATCCGGACGTTTAGATGGGCTCACGGGCTCAACCTGAGTGAATTTGCTAACACTAGCCCTAGCAAGAGAAGTGCTTCGCAGAATCTATCACCGGATCGGAATCTCGACCCACTCAGAAGTTTCGTCAAGAAACTCAGTGGGCAACTTGTACGGTAGATTAAACCACAAAACATTAAATTTGGTCACGCTTAGTTTTATGAAATTCTTTTGATATTTTCATCCAAATTTTCATCTAGAACTTTCTATTAGATATGAAACCAATTTATGTTAGTCGGTTTCAGTACCAAAAATATTTCATCCCATTTTTTTCATAGGTCTGTGGCATCTCAACTGATAATGGGACAACCAGTTATGGCTGAAACATACGATCAAGTTACAATCTACTTTAGTGACATCATTGGCTTCACTCAGCTCTCCGCGGAATCCACTCCTCTTGAAGTGGTGGATTTATTGAACGATTTGTACACGAATTTCGATTCCATCATTGAAAATTTTGATGTTTACAAGGTAATAAGGTTGCTATTGTTTGTTGGTAATTCTCTTTTTTGTTTTCGTTCAGTGTCGTCATTTAAAATGTTTGTGTATTGCCCGGAGGTCAAGGATGAATACGTGTATCTAATTTCATAAAAAACTGAATATTCAGCAATGCGTTCGCAACGTGACTGAGACTTCTTAGTTATGTGTAACTTCATTTAAATCGTATAATATATTTAGGAATCTTTAAAGGTCAATCTGGTACCAGGAGCGTAGGGCGTCCTCCAACCAGGTGGACCGACGACTTAGTGCGCACGGCGGGAAGTCGTTGGATGCGGGAGGCAGAGGACTGGATGATGTGGAAAGCATTGGGGAAGGCCTATGTGCAGCAGTGGGCAGATAAGGGCTGATGATTGGTCTATATTAGGGATTTCAATTTTCTGTCTGGCAAAAATCACGGTTTAAATTAGATTTTTTTAATTTTTTTTTTGTGCGAGCTCACTGTCCTCCTGGTGTTAAGTGGTTACTGAAGCCAATAGACATCTACAACGTAAATGTGCCACCCACCTTGTGATATAAGTTCTAAGGTCTCAGTATAGTTACAACGGCTGCGCCACCCTTCAAACCGAAACGCATTACTGCTTCACGGCAGAAATAGGCAGGGCAGTGTTACCTACCCGTGCGCGGACTCGCAAGAGGTCCTACCACCAGTAAGACTCTCGATTTATCTCAACTGCCACAGGTAGAAACAATAGGTGATGCGTATATGGTGGTCTCGGGTCTTCCGATGCGCAACGGTAACCGTCACGCTGCTGAGATCGCTCGCATGTCTCTGGCTCTCCTCGGAGCGGTGCGCGTGAAGACAGTTCCTCACAGACCAGGAGAACGGCTGCTCTTGAGAATCGGGATGCATACTGGTAAATTGAACACAGTAGAGATATAAACCAAATTAATTATAAGATCTAGTTTGAAGAGTTGAATATTCATAAAGCAAATACGACTTTGGCCTCACCTGTCAAGGCCATCGGTAATTTAAGGGCGAAAAATAATGATATAATAAGAACATTGACTAAAGTGCAAGTTACAAGCACCCTTAATGAACTTATAAAATGAATAAATGTTGGTAAGAGTCAATCAAATAGCAGTGTGGGAAATATATATTTTATTTATTTAAATAGATTATTTGACAATTTACAAATTTATAGTACATTAAATAATTTACAATTTTATTTAAATACAATCGTTTTAAACCTCTTGGAATTATTTGAAAATGTTCACTTTACTTGCCTTTTACGGTGAAAAGGAAAACAAAGATTTAGATAAACAAAACAAAAGCCCTTTGGCGTTAGAATTAAATTATATTACCCACCATTTCGTGATTAAAACAAATTAAAGAACGGTAAGTTGAAAACGTAATAATCTTATCCGAGTAAAACAAGAATAAAAACCTTTCCAGGATGAAAGAAAAAGAAACATTTTTCAGTAATTACTTTTGACTAAGCCTTGTTACGAGTTCAAATGAATAAAATGAAAAAGCAATTTTCATTCTTGATCTAGTGAATGCTACTGAATTAAATACAAGTTAATTTTTGTTTAACTTTGAGAAACAGAATAATGAATTTCAATCATTATTTAATAAGGACGTTAGAATAAGCTCTGTTTTTGTAAATACACTATATAATAAACTAGATTTCGTTCAATGATTAGAATTGGAAGTAATTGATACATGAAGACTTTGTTTGTCTTTTGTTTTTATAGTATTTTTTTTTTGATACTGTTATGGTAATTTTTTTGATAAACCTAAAAGATTCGTTATTTATTTTTTCTTAAATTACGAAATACCGTTAAAAAACAGAGTCCATAAATCTACTGTATTTTTGATCTTTCCCCTTCTATACTTAAATGGAAAATACATAACACTATACATACCTATCTTCATATGTATTATTCGAATAAAGTAAGCAAAGCAAGAAGCAATTTGCTATACAATATTAAGAGCATTCGAAAAACTAATTAATTATAAGGAAAACGTTGTTATTCTAACAGAGAGGTTTTTCGCAATTAAGATGTCAGATAAATTATTGTACGAAAGTATGGGGCAACGGAACGAAACTTTTCGCATGGCATGCGACCTCATGGATCTCATAGTGTTAAGTGTCTCAATCCATAGATAGTACAATATCAGTGACGCCACTCTCCTCGTGTGTTGCGGCCAAAATAGGCATAGTGTGAGCGTCACTTTCAATACTGTTGTTGTTCTTATCAATATAGAACAAACCCCTAGATGTTTGAGCAAAAATAAACTTTTAAATACGACATTTCAAGCTGTCGTACAAAGTTCATGTTAACAAACTTTTAACCGAACTCGAACCGTTCCTTGTGTGAAAAGTTTGAAGATACCCTAATGCGGTACTGTCCGGGCACCCAGTAAAGTTTGTTAGAATACAAATTATTTGTTTTGAAGAGATTTTGTAAAACTTTCCTTAAATTCAATTTAAATATTTTATAAAGATTACATATTTTTTTAATGATCATCAGAACGATTTTAATATTGTGTTAAATTATTGGCGGTGATTGCAAACACCATTATTTAACGGGTTCTCACTGCGATCTTTTGTTTAGTAGGTAAAATTCAGTTTTTTAATGTTATCCTAGGTTATGATTATGAGAAAGGAATGCTTTGAGGAAGTACTTGGAACCATTGCGTTTTTGAAGATCCCTCCAAAGCGTTTCCAAAGCACTACAATATTCTTCTTTCGTAGCAAATTTGATGAGAATCCTTAGCTGTTAGCATTAACAGCTTTGTTGGGGCTTTAAAATTGTGGACGTTCATGAATAACAATTATCACAGATCATCAAACAAAATCATCAATCATTAAAGACCGTAGAATACTAAAGTTGATTAAGTCCCAGGCCCTTTACTTACGTCATGTTTATTAATAATTAAGAAGAACTATTTTCTAATTGTCTAATTCTAACAGGTCCATGTGTGGCTGGTGTGGTTGGCTTAAAGATGCCAAGATATTGCCTGTTCGGCGATACGGTGAATACTGCTTCAAGAATGGAGTCACATGGCGAAGCCCTACGAATACACGTCAGTCCCAAAACCAAAGAAGTATTGGATTTATATGATTGTTTCGAACTGGAATGCAGAGGTCAGATTACAATGAAGGTTGGTAAAAACTTCAGATTTTCATTTAAAGTCAACAAACTTATGAATGTATATTTGTTTTGTAATATTTATTTTGAAATCAAGCCACCAATCAAGTTCTGTTTGAATAGGGGCATTTACTTTTTTAAACGTAGGTAAGATAATTCAATATTTTCCAGAGCAAGCATTTCGTTCACAGGGTAAAGGCGAAATGACAACATACTGGCTAATCGGTGAAAAAACACCACAAAACAAATACGTAGCAACAGAAGAAGCTAATTTACAAAACACCACCGTGACAAACCCAAGTATCACATTCCAGGGCCCAGATAGTCCTGCCGCGCATTCGCTCACCCAAAGTCACAGTCCAGAACAAATGGACGTTAAGGAAACCAGCAATCACCGACCGCTTGAGATAATGAACGAAAGAGATCGTATCAAACACGAAATAGCGTCATTCGTGGCCAAAGATCTCATAAACAATATAGACAATGCTGTGAGAGAATTCAGAAAATCACAAAGCGCTAACTTCGCTAACTCAATGACGAACACAAAGCTATTGTGTAATGGCAATGAGAAAGGCCTAATTACACCGACATACGATAAAGAATTGGTCATCAGCAAAGGCAAAGTACGCGATGTCGTTAACAGATTCAACAGTTGCATTATAACTACTAATGATAATAATCTAAATAAAACACAAAAAATAAAGGCGACGAACGCTGAATAATGAGTTTCTGATTTAAAATGATATCTCGCTCGGTCTAAAGTTTTTAAAGTTTTAGATGTATATGTGATTTTTTTTATATATATTTAAACATGAATTTCTATTGATGGAGTTGCCAGTGTATTTAGTGCCAAGCACAATATAGGAAAGTAGTGGACAAACTACATATTTATTTCAGAATCTAGTTGCTATTCTTAAGAAGTACATTTATTTAGAACATTCATAAATTAAAAATGAGCATAGAACAGATGTGGGTACGAGAAACCCACCACAATCTTTGTAGGTATACTTAATTAATATTCTAGATATTACAGATATGTTATGTTTTTAATAGTTTTAGCAAATTATCGCATAGGGCGATGTTGAAAGATGTAGTGAGAATTTAACTATATAATGGACTTCTTTAAATGTTAATAATTATACATCCTCTAAAAAAATTTTAGAATTAGAATCCTTAGTATTTGTACCTAACTTTTGTACCTTGAATACTTTTCTAGTCACCTTGTTTGATGTTACCTCATATATTCGTCTGTTTATAAATAAAACACATATTTGTAGACATAAGCAATTTTATTATCCATTAACTATGAAAGCTTAAGATACCTATATAACTATGTTAGATTTTACTTAATATTACGTAAAATGTCAACTGGCTTCATTAGCTTTAGGAATCCCATCGATTTTCTGTGCTATTAGATCTAGGTTGCTATCGTTGACAACTATTTATGTATTCTCTATTTGTGTTGAAGATAGGGAGTCTCTAAAATCTGTGCTTGCTCAGAGTGAGTTTGAGTATTGATTCGACACTCATGATACCAGTCAATTCTGATTTTTCATATTCATAAAGTCTTCCTACTTTATACTTATCCGCTATCTTGTTCATTTATCTACTTAATCTCTTATTGCGATTCGTATTTGATGCGATTAATCCGTTTTTCAATCCACGATAATGTTTCGACCCCAAGAAAATAACTATGATCCTATATTACGATTTATTAATATCTTGTTTTTGATATTATAAATAATGGAAATAGACAATGTCTTTTCAACAGTCATTTATTATTTTAAAAATCATATGTCGATATTAACAAGTTTTACAATAGTTACTTGAATTGAAAGTCTCGTCTACAAATTTTTAGTATTAATATAAGTTACTCTCGATCAATCTCATTCTTTTATCTCGAATAGCTAATAAGAATTATCAGATGTAGTTTTAGTTTTAAATTCTCACGCTTATAGTTATTATCTGAAATCTCATGCTATTATTAACAGTGTAGGATGAATTTAATTTGAAATACAAGGTTGAAAATTGTTTATAAATTTTATTTTATCTTGTGTATGTAACGAAATTTTGATTGAATCGTATCTTAATAGTCTAGTCTTACATCTTTTTCCTGCTGGCACGATATGTCTAAATAAGATAAATAATTATAGCAATTTTAATGTTTTACTGAGTGAAAATGTGTTTAGTAATATTTTCTGAGTAATTATGTCAAAAATATTCTCATATATAATAAAATATTATCTTTTTGTTGATTTTTCAGATATTAATAAATGGATATTATGAATAGTTGTATGTATAATATAATATACGTAAAATAAATTATATGTTTTTATTTCATTCGCCGTTAAATCGATTGAACTATTTTTAGTTAAAGTAACTATAGAAAATTAATTTGTAATGAATATGCTTGAGTATTTCCAGCTTTTTAATATTAATTCTGTTAAAATTAGAATGCAATTTTACTAGAAATAATCTTCAGTAGTATGAAGATGGAAATCTATCAGAGGAGCTTTCACATGTGTGTGAACATGTTTTTAACTTACTTTACTGTCGCTGAAAGGCTTTCAGATACAATAAATATGTTCTTACATATTACATATTATCTATACTAATATAATAAAGCTGAAGAGTTTGTTTGTTTGAACGCGCTAATCTCAGGAACTACTGGTCCGATTTAAAAAAATATTTCAGTGTTAGATAGCCCATTTATTGAGGAAGGCTATAGCTATATATAACATCACTTCGCTGCATGCGCTGCAGAAATGGTTAAAGTTTCGCTAAAATAATGTATGACAGAATTGTTCTCTTTTAAAAGATCTAAAAAAAGACCGTGACAGCATATCTCTATATGTTAAGGTTGGGTCACTATAACGTTTTTTATGCTAACCAATTATTTTCTAAAATAAATCATTATTTGTGAACTATTCCACGCAGATGAAGTCGCGGGCAAAAGCTAGTGTATTATATAAATTTGAGATTCAAATGATTAATATTTTAATGAGGATCGGACTGTCTCTTTGAACTCAGAAATTAATATTAAAACCAGTAAGGCTAATTATTTTAATAAGAGGCGCACGTTATATATTTATAGAACTGCCAAGATGGAAGGGGTCGCCCTCTTTTTCCCCCTACCTATTCGCTGGTAGCCTAAGGTAGCTACGCTATGGCTGGTAGGTGAGCTAACGAGCTCAACCTGAGAGTTTCCTAGTACTGGCCCTAGCAAAAGCAATAATCGCGACCCACTGAGAAAATACGGCGAGAAACTCAGTGGGTGGCTCACTAAACGAAACCCTTGCGCTCTCAAACAAAAATTCTGATCCTTGCTCGAATCAGAGCCCGGAAGAGGTGAAGTTATTACTACATTCAACTCTACAGCCAGACACGCTGCTCAACTCCAAGGAATCTCGATCGACGGATACGTCAAAAATAATCGACGACTCTACTCGGCTCTACTCGACTCTACATTGGCTACCTAGGCCAAGGCGGTAAACCGCCAGGCGCTGCCGCTGATATTTATACTGCCCCTTTTCTTTTGTACTTAAGTTGCACAGACGACCTTACAGACCCTATAGGAATCACAATTTGAATTTCGGTGCCTACATGGAGACTCGGCACTGAACTCCCAACGTCATCGTTGCAAAATATACGTCGAATGGTATTTATATTTCAGCATGAGTAGGTACCACCGCCCTTTCTATTATTGCTGTAAAGCAGTCTAGCTTCCTGGTTTAAAGACCTCATGCCTTAAAGTGCACAGCGGTAAATGACTATGCCTGACTCATATTTGCGGAAAGCTACTTGATATTTTTCCTTTCCTTTGTCGTATCACTATTGTCAGAGCGGTCGTGGTATTCATTCAGCATCATTGCTGTGGGCAGATGTTATGCGCCTCACGAGGTTTGTGATAAGCCTGGTACATTCATGCAAACAACCCCCAACTGCCGACTTGGTCTGGTCATGACTTGATGGACCGACTTGATATTAGGTGGGCCGTGATCCATAGACGGCTGAACGAGTAAAGAGAGTTTTATTTGAATGATCATAAGTTACCCATCAGGGCTTGCACCATATTTTAACCTTAACTCAGATTTGGACTCACTCACTTATTAACAGTTCGTACTTCTCATCTGCATCTCGTTGCTAAGACCTAAAAAAGACACAGATTTACTGTTGCTTGTTTTTATCGCCCCGTTGCTCTTTTCAGCACCCGCTTTAGCAGAACCAATCTAGGCAAGCACTCACCTACTCCTCGTCTAACTAACCTTCATAATAATCTAGTTAGAAAAGTTGAAAACCTTGACATATTTCGCGATTCCCTTCCAATATTTAAGAACAAAATTATAAAAAGTTGTTGTTGAACCTCAGCCTCAGCCTTGGTCTGAGTACTCGGGTATTACTGTCCTTGTTGTCTTTCTTTTGTTTTTAATTTTTATTATTATTAATAGTATTGTTAAATCTCTATTGATATATTAATGTAATGCATGCTGTGATTGCCTCTAATTAGAGTTGCAGTTATCAATTGCTCTATACATGTCAATGTTATTTTATGTCTTACTGTAAACCCTGTCGGTAATCCTTAAATAAATAAATAAATAAATAAACAATAAGGTTCATTTAATTTTTTACACGATTTNATTTTTTATTATTATTAATAGTATTGTTAAATCTCTATTGATATATTAATGTAATGCATGCTGTGATTGCCTCTAATTAGAGTTGCAGTTATCAATTGCTCTATACATGTCAATGTTATTTTATGTCTTACTGTAAACCCTGTCGGTAATCCTTAAATAAATAAATAAATAAATAAACAATAAGGTTCATTTAATTTTTTACACGATTTTCGGTCACAGCTCGGTCTCAGCCCTTTGTTTTGATTTAACAAAGCGCGAAACAAAATATACCTACTTCGCGCCTATTATGATGACGTGAAATATAGGTGTGTGGAAAAGTGATCCTTTTGTGTGTTTAATAACATTTTCTTGTCATTGCTGATGGATGGGGTTGCGGTCGTGTTGTTTTTAGCGTTGTTTACTAATTTGTTTCTTAGTTTTATTGGTCATGTCCTTTTCTGGGTACAGACGGGTACATCAATGCTATTACGACAGAAGGACGGGGCAGATAAAATAGAGCACTGGCTCTACTTGATGGTGAATGGACTACGTACCTTTTCTTATTGCTTAGATGGGTGGACGGGCTCACAGCCCACCTGGTGTTAAGTGGTTACTAGAGCCCATAGACATCTACAAGGAAATGCGCAACCCACCTTGAGATATAAGTTCTAAGGTCTCAAGTATAGTTACAACGGCTGCCCTACCCTTCAAACTGAAACGCATTACTGCTTCACGGCAGAAATAGGCAAGTTGGTCGTACTTACCCGCACGGACTCGCAAGAGGTCTTACCACCAATAAGTCATGGACATTAGCAACGNCGTGAAATATAGGTGTGTGGAAAAGTGATCCTTTTGTGTGTTTAATAACATTTTCTTGTCATTGCTGATGGATGGGGTTGCGGTCGTGTTGTTTTTAGCGTTGTTTACTAATTTGTTTCTTAGTTTTATTGGTCATGTCCTTTTCTGGGTACAGACGGGTACATCAATGCTATTACGACAGAAGGACGGGGCAGATAAAATAGAGCACTGGCTCTACTTGATGGTGAATGGACTACGTACCTTTTCTTATTGCTTAGATGGGTGGACGGGCTCACAGCCCACCTGGTGTTAAGTGGTTACTAGAGCCCATAGACATCTACAAGGAAATGCGCAACCCACCTTGAGATATAAGTTCTAAGGTCTCAAGTATAGTTACAACGGCTGCCCTACCCTTCAAACTGAAACGCATTACTGCTTCACGGCAGAAATAGGCAAGTTGGTCGTACTTACCCGCACGGACTCGCAAGAGGTCTTACCACCAATAAGTCATGGACATTAGCAACGGTAGAGACACAGTCAATATACTGCCTACTTGGAAAAAATGTTTTTTTTTAACACCAATAAAAACGTCGGTTTACCAAAAAAATTACATTCTTGATATAAATTTGTAGTTTTATTTTATATTACAAAGTAAAGTTGAGCAGTATTTCATGTTATTGCGATTATATTTGGCTTTTCTCCGTTATTGGAAAAATGTCAATCTCTCATCTCTCGGGGGCCTTACAAATTTGGATTCAAACTCTGTTAATACTTATTTCCATGACAGGTTCTGTGAGGCTTTCTACGTTATTGATTAGTGTTTTGTTTTTGTTTAAAATTATTCAAG